AGAGAGAGAGGAGAGAAGAGAGAGGCGAGAAGTGAGAGGAGAAGTGAGAGGAGAGAAGAGAGGAGAGAGGCGAGGAGAGGAGAGAGGACAGAGAGGAGAGGAGAGAAGAGAGGAGAGAGGAGAGAGGAGAGAAGCCGGAGGAGAGAACAGAGAAGAGAAAGGAGGGGAGAGAGAAGAGAGAGGAGGGAGAGAGGAGGGGAGGATGACCCCGGAACTAAGTCTCCTGATTGCTTTCGCATGTGGGCTGTCATTATCATTGCGGTGTACGTGTCACCTGTCTGCATTCGGGTTCGTGGATCCTATCAGGCTTTCTCCAAGAGGTTTGTCGTCATAAGCGTATTTAACTGTTTACCATCGTGCTTCCGGTCGTTGGCACAGATTTTTCCAGAAACTCGTCATACAGTACCGAATGTTCTGCAAGATGCACTGCTTCGTTGAAGTGTTGTCCCCTTCAGTGCTGTTCCATGCCATTTAATTCGAATCCCAATTCCATGACCACGATGCAGCTTGTCCCAACAATCGGTTTTACAGTGTAATGGAACCCTGATTCTTGGGGTGCCATGCTGGCCAACACTCATTGCTTGATTCTTGGCAGAATGGATAGGTATGCATAGAGTTGACCGTTGTGTCGAATGAAGAGAATTTCCCAGGACCCAAATGACACTTTCACCCTTGTGCACCCTTTTGCGAGTGTGATGATTCATGCACATTCTGCAGACTCAAGCAGGCCTCAAGTAGATTCCTTGGGCAGGCGGATCCTACATGCCTATGGTCAGCACCTGAGCCATGTTGCGCACAAAGTGTTGCGCTTTGTCTGAATGTGAAGTTTGGTCATGCAGGATCTTGTGAAGGGCTGCTGGAACTGCTGGAGGGGTGTTGAGACGACGTGGGAATTTTGCAGTTGTGTCTGGCATCCTAATTCTCTGTGAGACTCTGCGAAGACGGAGGTCCCCAGCGAAACCGCTGCCACAGTCATGCAGGCACATGCATTGGGTGGATGGTTGCGGCAAGGTGTGTGCAAGCCAGCTACGCAACTTGAGCAGTCACACAGGACAGTCCTTATACCTCATGCTGGTTAGACACGCAAGGGCTCCGTTCTGCATCCATTTTTGCTTGGTGCGCTTTGCTGGATGTAGTCAGGCAGACACTCAAAAGGGGGGCAGCAACCCCAGCATCGGGAGGCTTTGAAGCTTTGGTTGGTTGGTTGGTTGGTTGGTTGGTTCACTGCTGAAACAGGCTAAGCTACCCACAGAACCGAATCCAAAGCCCAAGAAGACACCGATTGCAAGCTTTGTGACTGGGTGTCTCGAGGCCCGGTCTACAACTACAACCAGTCGCTCCTGAAGTGGGGCGGAAGGCACTTGGCCTCAGCAAGTGGGGGGTCAGCTTGGGCTTTCTGAAATCATGCCGCTGTAGTGAGTGCATGCCAGAGCCAAAAGAGCACTATGTCAAAATGCCAAGACTTCCACTTGCCACAGCACCAGCATTTTTGAGGCTGCAATATGCACAGGACCAGCATGCTGTGAGCATCGGAAGTCGCAGGGCAGGCCATGTATCCGAAAGTTTGCAAACAAATGCTTTCATGCAACTCATCATCTAGAACCTGCATAAGAGGCCTCGGGCCTCGGTGTGAGCATAGCTTACGTGGAAATTATCCGACTGCATAGGCTCCATAGCTCCAGATCGCCATGTTTGATCTGAGGCCCAGGAAAGAAAGCTATAGCATGGATCGCAGGACTGCAGGGAAGGTTAAAGGTGTTCTGTCACAGAGATCTTTGCACTTTTTGGGTTCCCTTAGATTGATGGACGGGCGGCGGCAGATTTCTGAAAGGAAACGCAATCGCGAAGAGCAGAACTGGCATGGCAACACCATTTTGCGAGATGGTCGGGAAGCATTGTTGCAGGAAGGCGCTGTGGATCAACTATGCGAAGAACATGCATGGACGCAGAAGAAACTGTTCGGACGCCAAGGGGTCAAGATTTGCTGGAGTCGATCGTGGTTCATGATGACTTCACTGTGTTGGGATTTAAGAATCTACATCATGTCCATCCGAACTGTGCTTTTAGCAGTCCTGAACGGTGTTGCGCACGCTTCCTGCCACTGAGTGTATCGGCTGACGAACTGCGCTATGTCTCCCAAGCGGTTGTTACCTTCTGAACCAGTAAGCTGTTCCAGATGGTAGGCTTGCTCTGCTCTAGCCTCACAGCAGCCCCACACCTGCCTGTTCCCCTTCCCCTACCAAAGCGTTGGCCATGAAGCGCGCAGCTCCTCCCAGCGCAGAGGCGCAACTGCGCATGTTGCAGCTTTGGGTTTCTGGGCTTGTGCTCCCCCAGTTCAGGCGACTGAACTTTTCGTTTTTTTTGTTTGTCTGCATCTTGAAAGGGTTATAGCTCTGTATGAAACGGCCGGAATCTTAGGCCCCCTGAGCAGGTGAAATGGAAGCTCAAGATTGCCTGCGAGACAGGAGACCTGGCAACCGTGCGCGAGCCCTGTTAGCAGGTAGTGTGTTCTAATGACTTCGTAAAATTTATTGACTTTCCGAGAGTGCTGAAGAAGAGCAATATTTTTTTCAGCCCAACTTTCTCACGACATTTTGGTGGCAGCTCGGGATCCGATCCTCTGACGAAGGATGTGATTGAATCTGGTGCTGTGGACGTCAACGAGCGTGAGATTGACGGCCGCTTGTCTTGGTCGTGTTGGGCAGCTGGGAACGGACACGCCCGTCGCACAGCATGTCTCGTACTTGCTGAGCACGCCTGCAAAAGCCAGATGTTGAGAGCCTTTGCTAACCGGGGCCCGCATTCCCTCGAGGTGAGAGAGGTGCAGGTGCCACTGCTGTCATTGAGGCGGCCTACGGGCAGCAACTGGACCGATTCGTTCCTGCATTCGGTTATTTGCGATTGTTTGGATTGTTTGAAGTGGGTTCATGTTTCATTCAGTAACTGATGACAACAACATGGAAAGTTTTGAAGTGTTGAAATCTCAAAGTACAGCGCTCTGCAATGTTGTGCTGAAGGACATGGAGGGTGTGTACTGGCAGCAATTCCGGTATTGTGGGTAGTAGTCGTAGTAGTAGCAGAAGTGGTGGTGGTGTTGTTGGTGGTGGTGGTGGTG